AAGTCTAGATCCATACAACCCAAATGAATCAAAATTGATTCTTTCCAGTTCTTAAAGTTGTCCCTAGATAAAGTGGGGACTGGGTAATTGGTAGATACCATAGATGAAGAACCTGATGAGAATAATAAACAAAAGTGCTCACATTATTATCCATAATTTAATCATTTAAACCAAATATGGTTTAAACCCATAGCAAGATACCAAGCACAACGTTAATACCAAATCTTTGGATAGTGATATTAACTGTAAGCAGTACTCTTGTTGTAATAATCAAATCTTGACAATAAATTCTGTCAAACAATAAAACTACCTTTGGATAGAATTTTTGTTCACATGAAAACCTTATAATTGTCACTGATTTATTATCACAGGTATGTTTGTAATTCGGCCATGTGTCGGTTCACCTTTGAGTTAATCAACACACGCATGAATTACAAAAATACAATAATCCTTAGTATTTAAATGAATCAATTTACACAAAAGAGGTCACTTTAGTAACATTTTGTTTCAATCGATCCATTTAAATTAATATTAAAGAGCATATTAAGCTTGAATCCCCGCGTGGCAAGAAAATGAATTACTTTGCGCTAATGGACTCACAATTCTTATGTAAGCAATAAGATTCAATTTCTGACAAATAAATCACTTGCAGTGCAAAACAAAAACTGAAAGGAATTATCTGGAAATAAATCCAAACATAACATAATCCATATTCACTCAATTATTCAAAACGGTTCTGATGGATTTTCCCCAAACAAAATGCTTTTGAATGTTTAATGAAAATAGTCCCAAAGAGATTAACATGCTATTTGAATAATTAATTCAATTCGAATGAACTGATGGAATTAATTCGAACAGTGTTATAAATATATTAATATGGACATTACTAATAAATAATTGGGCCTGAAGTCCATTAGTGAGTAGGATTAGGTTGTAGGGCTTCCCTCTTGTAAACCCTATAAAAGGGTGATTATACTGATGAATAAGATGACATACTTTTCTGCTTCTCTTTTATCGTTCTCTTTACTGCACATCTTATGCTTGGATTGATGGATGCTTGTTGAAGATTAAGAATTCCAATTTACAACACGTTATCAGCACGCTCTAATCTATCAAGGTAATTTCATCCCCTTTGTTAATTGTCATGCTTGACTAAGCATCGAATTGTTTTGATCTGTTTGTTGTTTTCTTCTGGTCTGAATATGGGACCGATTATTATTGATGTATTGTTTTCCAGTTCCTGAGGTTATTGAACAATATTTTATTGTGCCGATTGTGGTTTCAAATTGATACGTTGATGTTGAATCGGTATTTTATTGTGCGGAGGTTATTGAATCTGTATTCTATTGAGTCAATATTTTATTCAATTTGTGTACATGGACCTGTTAGTTGAAATCATGTTGGATTCATTTAAAAAANNNNAAAAAAAAAAAAAAAAAAAAAAAACAAATGATATGGATCTGCTCGGTTTTTTATTGTTCTGATATTGAATTTCCACATGATTTTTTTTTTTATTGTTCATCAAATACTCAGGATGATTTATTTGTTTTGGAATCTTTGTAATTGAATTCAATTTTGATTTGTTTGGTTTGAAACCATTTTGCACAATTGAATCTTTGTAATTGAATTCAATATCCTAATTTTTTTTTAGTGCTACAACAATTCATGT